GTAAATAACTTCAGGGACAGTGTTCACGGCATTGAATTCATCTTCATTGAAAACAATAAAAAATATCCGGAACATCAATGTCACGGATTATACCGTATCTCCTAAAAGGAAGGGTTTAGGAGAATAATCAATGACGGTCGGAAGAATTGAAAATTTTCCGAAGTATTGAAACACCTGCATTCATTCACTTGTTAGTGGAGTATATTCTTCAATCAATTCTGGTTATTTGGGATAGAATATCCTCGATGAAAAATGAGGGAGCCGTGTAGGTATTTTTCGAACATCTTTTGAATCTAAATAAAATTAATCGGTACGTCAATCATAGGAGTAAAAAGAGTGAGTGATGATGTTGAATGCGTTGAATCACTCTTCGTCGAGAACTGTAAGAAACCATCCGAAACGTCAATTTCACGGATTTTGTAATTCGAGGTTTTGAAATTACAAAATGTGAAATGCCCAAAGGTGGGGATTGAAGAAAAATTATGAAGCGGTCTCTTTTTTAGAAAATTTGAAAAACTATAATCCTGTTTTGACGTTCATTTGCGATTTTGATCTCGAAATTATTGTAGTGGAGTAAATTCACAGAGAAAAAAAGTTCTGATTTTGAGGAACATGTCACTGATGTTTAAGAACATGTCACTGATTTCCTGCAACATGTCATCGATTTTTAGTGATACTCGAAACTGATTTGGAAGACTCTGATCATCTGTGATTTCTATCGCTGAAATTTAGTGATAAATTCCCGGAAATTATTGACGATATCACTGGAAATTAGTGATAATGTGATTGTGATTGTCACGCAATCACTGAATTTTAGGATTTCGCACTCATTGAATTTCACTGATTTTGATGACAGTTATGAAAAAAAAACAGAAATTCCGAAAATTCGATCCGAAAAAGTGGATCCTTTTCGTATAGGCATCCCCATGTTCAGAACATCACTTTCACGGACCCCGTATTCCGGTCCTTTTAACAGAAAACGGTCAAGTCTTTGATCAGAAGAGATCAGAAAGAATTTAAATCTCTTCTTTGTAGAGATTTTCAGAAACTATGAGAAATCGTGTTTTGATATTAATTCCAGCAGTTCTATCAATTTGAAATTAAATATTCCTGGTGAGAGATGAGAAAAAATAATTTGTCGATTGTGAGGAAAATTAATTATCGCATAAATTATCTAAATGGTGACATTCAAGGTGTTGAATCCACCTCCATCGAGAACCATAAGAAAATACCTAGAATATCAACTCCTCAGATTCTGTATTCCGATCCTTCTAAATGAAGATTATCTAATCTTCAAACGGAAGGGATTAAAAAGGAATATCAAGTGGTCTCTTTCGAAGAAACTTTGAGGAGTAATAAGAAATTCTGTTATGGCATTCAATCACTGTTCTCATTTTATGATCTTCTCATTGGGTTTTGACGTATTTTATTCCTTTGGAATGAGATATTTCTGTTGGGAGACGAGACAATCATTTTTTGGATATGAAGAAAGTCAATTATCACGCAATCAATTTATAGACTCGATCATGATTAAGACGTTGAATGAAAAAACGTCAACTTTATAGATTCTGCAATCGTCCGTTTGAGGAGAAAATCATCAGATCCTCAAACGGAACGATTCAGAGTAAATATCATTCAGAATAAATATCACAGTTTTTTCAGTGCACTGAGAGAATATTTTTGTCTTTTTTAAAAGTACGGCTTTACTTGTATCAAGAAACTCATGGCTCAAAAATTGACAGGAAGAAAATATTGTGCACTGATAAAAGAAACCTTTCGGCAAGAGCTTTTGTACTTGTCCGAAAGCTGAGGAGTAATTATTCACAACAAAAAAGTGATTTCTCGGCCCAAGTCAAGTAGTTTTTGCATTCAAATATATTAAATTTTCGACTTAGAAACTATTGAATAAATAGATTCAGTTAGGTTTCACGTGGTTTGTGAAATGACTTTCTTATCAAAAACAAATTGTCCTCGTCCTTGGGTTAAATAAAAAATCTCTCGAAATTTTTTTATTCTCACTGTCGGATATTTTCTTCTTGTAAATTTTCCAGTCATGACTTCCTTGATATAAGTGAAGCCGTACTGGTCAAACAAACTTTTTTTTTCTCAATGTAGAAACTTCTAGAAATTATAAGGAATTCTCTTTTGTGAATAATTCGCTATTGTTTTTTCACAATATTCTTTATAGTTTGGATTCAGTCCAGCGACTCTACAAATTTGAGGTACAACATGTCAAAGATAAATAAGAGAAGATAATGTCTTGAATATGAAAGAAACCAATTGTCACATAAATTACAGAAGGTATGACGTTAAAGGTATCGAATGAACTTCCACCAAGAGTCCCAAGAAAACATCCAGAACATCAATTTTCAGGATTCTGCACTCCGTCCCTTTTAAAAGAAAAACATCAAATATTCAAACGAAAAAGATTATAAAAAGAATACCAAGCGGCTTTCTTGTAGCTAATTTTACGAGCAATAAAAATGCTGTTTTGACATCTTCCATTAGCCCTCCTAAGCATCAGCGACATTCGAAAATAGAATCGAAACTCCAGTATACTTTATTACCACCTCGATGTTATCGATGCACAGGTGATTTTCGCGACAGAAAAACCCTAAAGCAATATTTCCCACACTTCCCTCCATAACCATAAACTCGCTCCCCCATAAAACAATATAACGAAAATGATCCACGATAATTATAAATAAACGAACCTCCACAAAAACTACAGCACCAAAAAAAAAATATCCGAACAAACCACCGAATTTGAAGACCCAGAGAGAGAGAGAATTGCCGTAGCTCCTGGTGGCTTAGTTGGGAAGAGTGATAAGTCCTTTTTTTGATCACCTATTTTTGACGTCGCACTAGATGTAAGCGAGGATTTAAGCAATTGGTTCAGGTTTTTTTTAAGGTTAGTTTTTTATTTCATTAAATGTATAGCCTAACGAGGCCTTTTACATTTCCACCGCTTAAATCTAATTCCCTACCTTACATTTTTATAATATAATAGGGGGCTTCGCCCCTCGCCCGCCTCGCTCGTCAACCATGGGGGGGCTTCGCCCCCTCACTCGCTTTCCCCATCTCATTGGATATGTTTAGGGTGTATATGCTTGACAGGTGTTGGATACTGATATCAGTGGTAGTAATGCCCAACAGACTAAATCCACTTGAGAAATGAAAACAGACCAAAACATCATGCGCTGAACAGTTTAGATCAGCATTTCAGAATCATCGGATTCAAAAGAAAGGCTCCAACCAATGCTTTTGCTAGTGAAATACAACCACTCTAAATTTCTATTTTTTTCTCATTTTCCATCCCTATTTGACTCCATATGGCCGCCATTGATCCTCGTATCCCTTCTGACCCTCATGACCCTTATGGCCCTTGTCTTAATTTTAATTACATTACATTAAAGAAGGGAGTTTATATAGCGTTCCACATCTTTGTGACGTCATAGGAAATGATTGGATGGGATTTGGATGAGGTAGGAGGAGAACCGGGATTATTCTCAATATTAGCCTTAATTTCGAGTACCAAATTTTCATCACCAGAAGTCGCTTTGGATTTTTGTAACATCCATTTTTGTATTTCCTATCAGATTATATTTCAGTTCTGGTACTTTTCACATTTTTTCACTATTGCAAAGTCCTTTTACACTATCCTCGGTTCACTCTCGTCTTCGTTTCCCTTCGACTGCTTTTGAAGATCTCGGCGCTGTTTTCTCTTTCCCGGGTTTCATCGTTGCCCAAAAAACACCACCGTTGAATCCCTGAATCCCATCTTTCAATTCTATGTTATTTTGAGGTTTTTCTGCGTTTTCTCACTTTCTTCCTCGCTATACGTCATCGAGAATTTCGCCATCCGCTTTTACCTTGGTATCCCGATACGGTGCGGCCTCACTCTCTCGGGTCCCCGAATTTATTTCCCCTCATTCTTTTTTACTCTTCCTCCCGAACTTTATATTTCTCCGCTTCCGTTGCACTTTTGACTTTCAGTTTATCGCCTTTTCCCATTTCTTACGCTTTTTTCTATCCATTAATCGTAATTTCTGTTCTGGACTTTTCTTGTTCAGCGCGCGCGCTGCCACCAATTGATTCTGTATTTATTTCATTAAAATAATACTCATTTAAACTTCTTACTCTTTCAGAATCGGAATATAATAATGTTGTAAACATTAGATACTCTCTTGATTCCGTATGATTCTAGACTTTCAATCTTTAAATGAAAGTGATATAAGTTTGAATACGTTAACTTATAATTCAACTATTGTATTTTGAAGGTGAATAAACGTACTTAGTAAAAAAAAATTTGGGAATTGTGCCCGATGCGTAACTGGGAGACCCGGGTTTAAATCTCGGTTCGGCGCAGCGGAATTTTTCTCTCTAAATTCTGCTTCTCGTTGAATTTTATTTTCTTCCGTACCTGCCGCTGGGTGCAGTTCCCGAAAGCCCATTAATCCTCTAACTCACGAAAATCGAATATACTTAACGAGTTCATGCTCATTCTATAATCATCGAGACACCCGTGGGGCCCCACTGGCCTCATCGGGGGTTCCATGATTTAATTTTATGACAGGCCACTATACTTCTTCCACACCGATCCCTTGGTAATTTTTTTCCTTCTTTGAACTACGTTTATTATACCGTCTTTTTACCCTAGGGAATCTTCGGATATTATACCTATGATCCTTGAGATTTCATTAAATTTTCGATCCGCACGAGCGTCTCCATTTGCTCCATTGCCAACTCGTGTACGATAGCCCCCCTTTCTGATTTACCGGACAACTTGGACTTCTCCTTTTCGCCTCAAGGTAAAAGCTATATCCCAAGAAGCCTAATTGGAATCCTTGGGATCTGCTTTATACCCTTTCCTTCAATTACCATTACAATAAAAATAACGATGAGTCATTGGGATTGTTGGAAAAGACTTCATCAATTTGATCTCGAACTTGATTTTACTGTTGATCCGATTGTCATGATTTTTATTTTATCTTTTGTAGAAAGGTGTGCAGGAGCTGCAGGTGCCCCAGGGAGGATCACCATCGGCCAAGTATCGAGGCACCATCGGGCCTTGGCCTCTCTCCGGCATCACCAATGGCTATGGCTATGGCATTCCAGGGGCCCTCGGCACCTGGGGCGGGGGGTCAACATCAGGAGGCGTTCAAGAGTCCTGTTCAACCTCCGCAACTTCAGGAACCACTTGTACATCATCAGAGGCTATCCCAGAGCGATGATGACAGTGGTTGTGCGCTTGAGGAGTATACCTGGGTTCCACCTGGATTAAGGCCTGATCAGGTAAAGGATTCACTGATTTTTATCGCTCGGGGGGAGGGGGAGGGGAGGGGAGAGAATAAATTTATGGGGATGGTGGAGATTCGGTGGCTAATTAAATTCACAAAATGTTTGGAACGATTTTTTCCACTCCGCTTCCATGTTCGGAACGTTGTTTGTCGGGTTTTTAAGGTAGTTTCAGAGTAATTGGGAGGGGGACGGATTTGTGGCGAGAAATGTATTGCATATGGATTTTTTTAGTCAAAAAGAGTGGTTGTAATGCTGCTGTGAAGGGGTAAAACATGTAGAGTCGATTTATCATGCTCCAACATTTTGATTATCATAAATCATCTTGGAGGAGAGTAATTGTAGGGCGGAAGGTATGGAGACATTTTTGTGAAGAATCTTGTTCTGTTTTCGAGATGATCTTATGGTTCTCAGATGATTTATTCGTTTTTCCACTTCCCTGAAGAATTGTCTGTTGTAAATCATTGTTGTTCAATTTCCTCTTAGAATTCCTTTCTTCTAATTCTATCTTAGACTTGAAGATATGAAATATTATCCAATTTTCTTTTCTCTTTCTTCTTCTGGAATTTTTTTGAAGCTTTCTTCAAATTCCATTTTCTACTCAGCGAGTGCATTCACCACTGCTTACCTTTTCTCAGCTCAAACTGACCCACAGCTATGCGCCTGCCCCGAAGGACAATCTACTTCATAATTCATTTCTAATTCATTTTCTCCTGAAGTAGTTAAGCCTTTAAGCTGACTCATCTACCTAATTGTTGACCTGGAAGATTTTTTCGATAAAGAGTGACTGAAGGTAAAGTATCCGGAGACATTTTTTGATGGAATTTTCTTTCTCCTACGAAGAGAGTCTTTCTACATTTCTTCTCACAATCAGTCATTTCTGAGATGAATGCATACTCGACAATGACAGCGGATTTGACTTGTTGCGTTATACCATCCGCAGGAGAATCTGTCACATTAGAAAGGACTTTAACGGGACCTATTTTCATTCTTCAATGGAGACATTTAACCTCGAGAATTTACAAATCCAATTAATCATCTTTAATGTGTCATCCTTCAAATTGCTGACTCTCGATTTCGGTAGAAAGCAACTGAAGAAATAAAAGCAAATTTTGAACGTTTCATCCGAATGAGTGAACAACCGATGAAACGATTCCACTCAGAAGACGCATCGATTATGCAAAATTAAGTCATATTGCGTCGTTATCTCAGGTGAAATCGTAAAAGAAAATTGACGCTCTTTGGTGTTTTTTTTTTAAATAAGTTTGATGCGAATAAGTATACAACCGCTGAAGGGATCGCCATCACAAACTAATCCGTTTTAAGGATATCCAAGCATATTTTACAGTTTAAAACAGTCTGAATAAACTATATGAATATGAATAAATTTGCTGCGATTCCGAACAAATGGAGGAAATTTGATTGCTTATAAATTATTCATAGAAAATGCTGGTAATTTTCAAAAATTGCAATTTGTAAATTATTTCATCAATATTCTCCCAAAAGCAAACTTTCTATTTTTTCCCCCGATTTTTAAAATGTTTTCTAATCATTCAATGTCGAGATTCTAATTCAGACTTGCAAAGTTTAAATAATAAAACCATTGCAAAATGTCCGGAAACTTAGGGTCAAATGGGGCTCAAATGAAAGCTCAAATGTTTGAGTAGAAAAGAATTTTATGGGAGAAAAATAGCCAAAGTATTTGGATATCCTTAAGCTACATGAAGATATATCGATGGAAAAAAATGATTCGAATCGCTTCATTTGTTCAAAAGATATCGTTGGACTAAATTTTGACCACATTCGTAGACACACAAACAAACGTGTCTTCAAAAACGTATCAGGATAATTCTAGGGGTCATTAATCGTCGACAAATCATGGAAACTCCACTTTTGATTTTTGGGCTAATTACAATAACTCCCTCCCATTGGGCCGGGAAGTTAAAAATGAATTCACAGAGAGGAAAAATTTCTAGTTTTCGGTAACAGTCTTTCAATTCTAGAATCCCATAGTGATGACAATTGATGAACAAAGAATTGATGAAAATATGTACTTATTTTGAGAAGATTAAATTAAAATCTGACACTGAGGGAACATATTATCCTTGCCAAAAGAATATTAATTTCAGGGAAGCATCTCAATCTTCATAGATGTATATGGCCCATTCCCCCCAATATCGTACGAGATCGAGCCTCAAAATTTTCGACAATTTTTTTTGGCTGTTCTTGATACTTATGTATAGAAAGGAAGATTTATCGGACGGCAGAGGCCCCGCGGCTTAGTTAGCGGCGCTTCGCGTGATTAAACGTTTTAGAGCCGAAGTTCTGCGCTCTTATTTAACGTGTTGAAAAATGTTTCGAAAAAAAATTCAACACCATTTTTGATTGGAAATTTTCTGAATTAAAAAAAAATTTTTTGTTCCTCCATTTCAACTTCATGGTGAAAATCGAAAAATAAAACGTTGATTTTAGCCTGTTCCCCACTTTTTTCCCTAAATCTGATATTTTTTTCGGAAAATTCAGAAAATTTCCGATCCAAATCATCTTTAAAAAATGTACGCTCATATGCCGCAGAGCCGAAAGAGAAATGAAGAAGAACCAAAAATGGATCTTTCAAAATTTTAGGTAGCTGTAGCTTTGTACAGCCGTGATTTTACGTGGATACGTCTATGTGACGGAGGGGAAACCGCAGTCCTCTGCTGTCGTAATGAGTAATTAAAATGTGCGTGTCATTGGACAGAATCAATAGATTGGGAGAAGAAAAAAAAAAGTGTGATTCGATTCTTCAATTTTACGGCTTCATTGTCGAGCGGAAGTCTCGCAAGAGAAGAATGTACCTGGGAACGTTTTTCCCTCAAGTGAGGTTTTCCCTTGCTCTTCGGCGAATGCGGTACAGGGGGTTGGGGGTGTGAAGGGAACAAATCGCAAAAACCCGAAAGGGTATACGAGACAAAAAACTTCTAATTTTAATCATTTTTTTCTCACTGCAACTTCTAATCTTCAGTAATTCCTGTCTTAAATCTAACACACTTGTGTTCAAATTAACCGAAATTATCTCCTTCTTCAATTGAGAACAATGTGGTTCTTGATGTCTCATTCTTCAATTGAACGATTTTTTTTTATTCATATTTCTTTCCTGCTAACATTATGGTTTTATAGGCTCCCCTTGCCTCTCCTACTTCTCTCTTCTGATTTTTATCTGCGTTACCATGGGCCATCTTACTCTCGACTGTACCCCATTCGGGCTAGGACTGCACGGGAAACCATGAAAAACCCCAGTCGTACAGCCGGCCGATTGTCCAGAGCCCTAATATGCCCTTCTGTCACACTGACTAGAGGGGCACATTAGGCCACTAGGCCGTGGCTACCTTTCGAAATTTTTGGGCGAGGGTGTTCCTAAGCGGTCACCCATCCACTCGCATGTCCGCCGGAGCAACACCTACTAACTCACCCAACTATTACGATCGGCTTTGAATGATTATTCATTCTATAAGTTAAAATGTTCAAATTCATCTCATTATAGTTACAGTAACAATGATTTTATGAATTGTTAATTTCAGATTTAAATGTCTGTGTGGATATTGATACGATGTTGATTTAATCACTAACGATTCCTAAATTCAATCCCCACGAAAAATTCTTAATTTAAGTGCAAATTTTCAATTTCAACTCGACTGGTCATACCTTTTATCAAATAAAAATTATTTACTTGATGCAAAATTTACAGCTGCATATTATCAAATATTTAATTCATCATCAATCGGAAATTTAAATTATTAATATTATACTATTTTCAAAATTTGATCAGTATATCTAAACTTTTACCCATGAAAGTCGGAAATCCTTTTGATAATGAAGAAATGTAATATTTATGGCCATCGCTGATTTGAATTGAATAAGGGAAGACGGGGCAAAGTGGTCTCCTCCAAATCCCAAAATCTTCATTCATTCTTCTTCAAGAAAGATATTGGTAATTAGAGACAATCACAAAACGTTTCACTTTGTCCCGCTCTCCCCTAAGCGTATAGCGCTCAATATTTAGAATAATTCTTCTGGAATTGAGTGGAAAATTCCCTACTTTAAGCCCAGCGGAAGTGAATATCGAGAATTCCTCAAATCAATATATTCCCCCCCGAAAAGATAAGAAACATTTTTCCTCTGTGTATATGTGGAACTGAAAACTCACTCCTCCAATTAACTTGGTAGTGCACCATCTATTCACCAATCTCTCTCTTTTCTCTCCCTCCCGACACCGTCGATTCCAACCAAGACAGGTGCATTCCGAAACAACTCAAAGGAAGGGGAAAACACCTTCACCTCAAGATTCCCCCCAAAACGGTCATTCCATATCCTTAATTCACGTTGTCTGTCTTTCTTGGTTTAATCGTACAGGTTCACCTGTACTTCAGCTCCTTACCCGAGGACAAGATACCGTACGTTGGTAGTGCGGGTGAGCGTGAGCGAGTGAAACAGCTGCTCCAACAGTTACCACCGCACGACAATGAGGCAAGATACTGCAGTGGTCTTGCTGAGGAGGAGAAGCGTGAGCTTCGTGTATTCGCAGCTCAGAGAAAACGTGAAGCACTTGGTAGAGGACACGCGAGTCAACTTGAACGACCTCATGGCAGTGGTTGTAGAGAATGTGGTAGGCCAATTGCTGCTGGTGAAATGGCTGTTGGTGCGAGTAGAGCTGGACCGACAGCACTATGGCATCCAGCCTGTTTTGTTTGCTGTGTTTGTCGGCAATTATTGGTTGATCTCATTTACTTCTGGAGAGAGGGTAGATTGTACTGTGGAAGACATCATGCAGAGACCCTCAAGCCAAGATGCTGCGCTTGCGATGAGATTATCCTTGCTGATGAGTGCACAGAGGCGGAAGGAAGGGCTTGGCATATGAGGCATTTCGCGTGCCTCGAGTGTGACAGACAGGTACCCTAATGAATTTCATTGTAAATTTCTTTTTCTGATGGCAGTGCGATGAAAGGAGATGAGTTTGAATCTGAGTTTTATCATTAAAGGATTAGCTTGGGCGTGAATGATTTTAAAGGATTTTCTACAAGATAACTCTTCTGACAAATGAAGGGTCGAATAATATCTCCTTCTATTACTCCGTCATACATGGAGAGAACTAATAAATTTCTGGGATCAAGTCCATTCTTGTCATCATCTTTTGCTCACGTTAGATCATTTTTGTGAGAAGGGGTCGTTGCTCCT